AAAAAAAAAAAAAAATCTTAGCGATATTATTACGGGTTCAGTAGCTGTTTGTTTTGAGGAATTTAGTATTATTTTTAAATACAATAATATTGTTGTGCTGTGTACCAACATGAACAGATACCTATATTTCAAATTAAAATTGAAACAAAATTTTATAAACAAAATTTAAAACTAAATGTATATATATTTATACATAATATAGCTCTATATGTATGTCTGTGTTTATATCCATGTATGTTTTGTGTGTGTACATGAATTTAACCACAGAAATACATCTGGAAAAGACTGTTAGCAAATCATTATAAAGGGGAAAAACTTAATTCTTTTGTTTACTTTATCCTGTTATCTTTGGATTTTTAAAAATCTTGTGCTTTCTGATAGACTAATAAGACTGAAATAAGACAAAACAAAATTAGTCAAAATTATAAACAATCTTGGAGTATTAAACTATGCATACTTTTTCCTGACCAGAAAAAGAAACGAGTTGAATAGATAAATACAGCCATTATGTAAGAAACTCCAGAGACAGTTTTCCAAGCTGATTGGCATTGTTCGGTGGTAAGATCTGATTTTACTGCAAATGGTGTCTTGGAATCCTTCTGAATTCCTTTTGCTCTGAAATGGTTCCATGTCATTTAAGAGGTTTTGAATGTCTGAACGGTTCCCTTCCTATAACATATGTGCTTATCTTGCATTTGAGTCCCACTTATAAGCTATTTTAGGCCAATGATTGTATCAAATTCTTCAGGATTCCCAATTGCTTCCATCATGGAGAGTATATACAGTATTTACTTGATAATTATCCTTGGATTAAATGGCTGGGATCTGGTATTAGAATAAAGCCATTTGATGCTGCAAAAAGGCATTAACAACCTAGAAATTTCAATGCTTTTATGCAACAAAAGCATATTTCTTATCCACAAAAGGCTGAACACATTGGAAAAGCTCTTTTATGCCTATCAACTAGGGATCTAGACTTCTTAGGCTGGAGCCTCCAAGGCTATAACCTGACTTCTGAGTTTTGTGTTGGAAAAAGGAAGGGAGAGAGGAGACACATTGTCTCAAGTGTCTCAGGCCAATTCTTTTCAGGTTTCCACTAATCAGGAATTAGTGTCCAGACTGGATTCCAACCTTAAAAGAGACCAGGATGTGCAGGGGACATAGGGGTCTCACAGGAGTGGAAAATAATCATGCCGTCTGGTTAGTGCCTCCTTCAAGTCAGCAGAATTGGCATTCATGTGGACTGTGAGGCTTGTTTTAGTGCGTGTTGGAATGTGTCAGAAACCGCTAGGATTCCTATTGTTTAAGCAGGCATTTATTTAGTGCTTGCTGTATACCAGGTGCTAGTCTAGGACTTTGGAAGACAGTAGTGAGGTGGAGTCCAGACTTCTCACAATGCAAGAGCTGAATTTCTAGAGCAAGTTAATAAAGCAATAATGCAGAGTTTGGCATTTGGTAACAAATATTGGAGGAATGTACATGGGGCATTGGACTTGTACTGGTGTGGGGAAGTAGCATGCAGCCCCGTTTTAAATAGATAGATCAGGAACAATTCACTGTAAAGGTAACTGGGGCAAAAACCTAGAGATGAGAGTCATTTGGGTGTCAAGGCAGAGAGCCTTGCTGTGGGAAGAAGCACAGACTTTGGGGTGGGGTGGGAGGTCAGGATACCTGGTATATTTGGCAGGAGGCCAGGAGGCCAGGGTGGAGACAGCAGGTGTGCAATTAGAGAGGACAGAGGTAAGATTTCAAGTCCGTTGAGTGTAGACCAAAGACAGCCATGTGTGATACTTTGCACTATGACATATGAAGCCAATGAGGAGTAATGCAGCCATCTGTAATTATATTGGGTTTAGACTTGGGGGCTGGGACAAAAGCAGAGAGACAATGTTGCCAACATTCAAATGAGAGGTAATGGTGGCTTGGACCATTTCCATCAGCTCCTTCCAAAGTTGAAGGGACACATTTTAGTTCTAGTTTTTTTTAATCTATGTCTATCTGTCTGTCCACCTACATCTATCTATCTATCTATCTATCTATCTATCTATCTATCTATCTATCTATCTATCTATCTATCTATCTATCTATTTTTGAGAGTTTCATGTCATCCAGGCTGGTGTTGAACTTGATATGTAGTTAAGGATGACCTTGAACTTCTCCTCTGCTCTACCTTCCAAGTACTGGGATCACAGGCATGTGCCACCAAGCCTGGTTTATGCTGTGCTGGGGACTGGACCCAGGGCTTCAGGAATGCTAAACAAGCACTCTCCCAACTGAGCTAAGTCCCTTGCCTGGAGAGATTCACATTAAAGGGGAAATTATTTCACAAATATGAGTACCTTTTTTGTTTTGTTTTGTTGGTTGGTTTTTTGAGATAGGTAACAGCTCTGGCTGTCCTAGAACTTGCTTTGTAGCCAAGGCTAGCCTCCAGCTCACAGAGCTCTGCTTGCCTCTGCCTCCTGAGTACTAGGATTAAAGGCGTGAGCCTCCATCACTGGGCAGTACCTTTTGCTAATGAGATGTTTGTGTATGGGTCTAACTGCAAGGTTGCTTCCACTGCCTCAGTTCTGATATTCTATCATTTCATCAATCCATTCGTTCAGAAAATATTTCTCCAATACCAGCATCCTCCACAGGCCAATGATTTAGACCTGACGTCTACTTTTCAGAAACTTAGGTGTGGTAGGACACACACACACACAGCACCCAGTTGTACCACTTACATCAAAACCACACAACAGAGTACTATAATCACAATAGAAACTGGCATGGAAACATTACCCAGAGCCGACTAACTGCTGCTAGGTATCTGTACAAGATATGCCTTTGGGCATAATGACGAGGAGGACAGATTTGCTATAATTATTTTGATTTGATGTTTCCCTTTATAACCAAATGGCACTGTAATAAAATCAGAGAAAATCATATTTAACTGTCTCAAAATGTTATGTCTATGCTCTGCCATCTATCAGCGTAAAGGATTCTGCCAATTCAGTACCTATCTAAACGCCAGCTCTGAAAAAAATATGTATGTGTCATTGTTAACCAACATCGCTGGGACCCCAGGCTCACTGATTGGCAGCCACTTAAATTCTCTTCAGTACATTCATTGCATGTTTTTTTTCTTTTTTCTTTTCTTTTAGCTCCCAAGATGGCACTGCTCGAACAGCGTGCACTTTTCTGCCTCCTCTGCTGCCTCCCACTGGTGCGTCCTTTCCACTGGCAAGATGACTTCAGGTCGGCAGGTAAGAGACATCAAACTCCAAGTGACTTCCGGATGCTGCATGTTTTGATGTGTGCGAAAGTCCTTTTAAGAAGTGTTCCTGTGGGGGCTGGGGAGATGGACCCCCATGATAAAATGCCTGCTGTGCCAGCTTGAGGACCTGAATTGGATCCCCAACCCTGATGTTAAGAAGTTTTCAGTGTTGTGTGTGTGTGGGGGGAGGGTGGGCAGGGTCAGGGGGGTCCCTGAAACTTACTGGCAAACCATCCCAGATGACTTGATGAGCTCAGTGAGCGATCTTGCCTCAAAAAAGCAAAGACATAAAAGACACTGTTCATCGATCTCTGGCTTCTGCAATCATGTACACACATATGCATGTACATCTGAGCATGCATGTCTATATGCGCACACTAACAAGGACTTACCACTGACACACACACACACACACAAGAGGCGTGCAAATACGTTCAGGGAAATAGCTCATCCTGAGGTAGGGAGGGGCCAATCTCTTTAAGATCCAAACTGAACAAGCATGTGTTTTCTTGTCTTGCTACGACCATGGAAAATGTCCCAAACAACCCGCCTCCCCTCTTCTACTGCCTCTATTCAACTCCTGCCAGGGACAGGAGCTCACCTGCCACGGCGTTTACAAGGCAGTCTCCAACCCTGCTTGTGTCTTGACAAACAAGCTTAGTCCTGGGGAGGTGGAGAGGTATGTGAGAAGATAACAATCTGGACTCTTGAGGTCAGAAGGGATGTGACTCTTTCTACCTTAGTATGAGGAGAAGTGGCGGCAAGTAGATACTGGAACCCCAGGGGAGATTCGACATGCTCAGGAAGGGATAAAGGAGGAGGAAGATTTAGACCATACTTGGAAAAGTAGCTAGAGTGGGACAGGTACACCTCATGTCACCAAGAAGGACCTACCTTGCCAGGACATTGCTTCAGAAGCATCGTGAATGCCTGTTCTTCTTAAAGAAAACTGTGACACACGTGTGTCTCAATCTATGTCCTGTGGAGAACACAGCAGGAGGTGGCTACAGAATGATGTCATACTGTCTACACCCACAGATCCCTATACCTGAATACATGTACTCACTTCGGATCTGGTTGTTCGTGCTGGTTGGGTGACTCCTTTTGATAGCATCTGCAAAAGGGCTTGCATAACTCCGTGGCATCGAGATAAACTTTGCCCTACTTCATAATTGGGGAAATGGATGGATCAATAGGAAAAGGACTGTGCCTTGTATTGATAATTGCACAGGTAATTGAATAATATCTCAGAGGCCATTCATCCCTCAACAATTCCCAGGAAGTGAGGGCTCTCTGGATACAGCGGTGACTAAGGTGCAGAGCTTGTCATCAGGGAACCTGTGACCTACTTGAAATGTAGTTAATTTTTCCAAGTATCAGTTTCAGAGATTGGAAACAGGTCACATGATGGGTAAATTATTATCCAGGGTACATTTTATGTCATTCACTCTTATTGGTGCACTGAGAATTTAAAGACATGTTTTCTCTCCTCTCATCTTTAAACATCACTGGAAATTTGTTCCTTGAGGACAGGGTTATTTAAATTATTCATCTTCCTGGGATTTGTGTTAGCCCAATGCCATACTCATTCTAGATGCTCAAAAGTGGCTACATGAATATTTTTTAAGTTATAATTAATAGACTAATTTCTTATCAAGGGAATACATAGAAAATACAGCTAATTCAGGTTATGATTTACTTGTGTGTGTATATGTTATAAGTGTATCTGTGAGTGTCCACACCTATATACACAGGCAGAAGCCAGAGGAAAATGTCCAGTGTCCTGTTCTATCTCTGTACCTTATTCTCTTGAGACAGTTCCACACTGAACCTGAGACTAAACCGAAAGCCAGCAAGCCCTGGAGATACTCCTGTCTCCACTGACCACAGGATTGGGGCTTCAGGTCCGAGCATCCATGCCTAATTTTTTATGTTGTGCTGCAAATTTAAACTCATGCCTGTGTAGCAAACTCTCTTACACATTAAACCATCTCCCTTCTTTTGATTGTTTGGGACAGCTTTATGTAGCCCAGGCTGACCTCTAACTCACTATGCAGCAAATGCTGGCCTTGGATTATTTATCCTGTTCTCTTCACAAGCACTGATGTGATAGGCATGTGCTGCCCTACCCGGAAAGGCTTCAAGTATGGGCTAGAGACTCATCATGTGCTGATGAAGGACAATGAAAGTCTAAAAGAGAATGCAATTTTCCTACCATGTATACATGCCGAGACTCAGGAATATTTGACTACCAAAAATATATACCAAGTAGCATACTATAGGTCCAAAGTTCCTATTCAAGTAAAGTTGAGGAGGATTGAGAAAAGATAAACTGAGCCACAATCTAGAGCATCCAAGATGAGGTGGTTCTGACGTCTCTTTCTTCTTCTTCCTTACGATGATTTCAGACAGAAGGAGAGATGAGATGCAGACTCATGCGATGTGCGAGCTGTAAGACACCGTTTTCTGTACCCAGTGTAGTACCTGTGACTCCTAGAGTCTGGGTGAGCAGGCTCCTAGAGCAAAGGCGGCTTTGGAGAACCACAGATTGTTTGAAGAGGTTCCCATGGTTTCGGTAGAATTAAGATCTCACTTCTGGGCTGTGGAGCTCTGCTGCTAGGCAGGGTCTCCAAAGCAGCTACGAGTTCTCTGGGGCTCCTCACTGAGCTGTGGGAACCAGTGGTCTCCCTGCTGGTCTAGCCCCGCCATGGCTGCCTATGGGTGGGGACACAGCAGCGCACTGGCTGCTCATCACAGAAGGAAAGGCAGAAGGTGTCTCCTACCCTGTTACTCTCTAGACTTGTTGTCTCCCAGTTAGACCAAGCCTGACTCTACAGATAACCTGACATGGGAGATGAAGAACCTTCTGTAATTCTAAAGAAGCCACAGAATATTCACCAATAAGGAGGTAAAATGAGATAATAATAAAAAATCTTCGAGGAATTGTCCCAACTTTTGAATGTGCCCTGAAGGAGAGTGAAATCCCTAGTGGAGATCTGCTGACCCTTCTAAGGACTCTCCATCCTTTGAGTAGTGGGAGGTTACCAGCTCTGGAGAAGGGAAGAAGTTGACTGCTGGTTACATGCAACTGTCAGTATTAGGCAGATGATGAATACACTCATTTCATCCACATTCTTCATCCACATTCTTCATCCACATAGCTGTCCTGAAGCTGGTTAAGGCCTTTACCAATGGGGATCAGAGAGAGGACTTAAATTGCTTAGGCCAGAGCACCATGGCTTGGTGTGTGAAAGAGGACCACTTGGATTCAGTACTGGGCTTCACTCTATGTTTTTCTTGAAAACTGCCTCCTATCGTTACTTCATCAGTGTGGACCAGGACACAGCAGCTCTTCACCTCGAGTCAGCCTACTTGGAATCTTCTGATTCAGTTAAATTGGAGTGAGGACTGGGATCTGCATTTCTAAACTCTGGGTGATACCCATGATGCTGGCCTGAGGATCAGCTTGGTGTAGGAGGCCTTGTGTGCAAAAGCCTCCATCACTGGCTGGTGCTTCACACATGAGTCATCAGTGGAGCGTGTGAATAAGATTATTGCCAAGACTCAGAGCCTTGCTGAGCAATGCTACATGATAACAAGGAGGGTGCCACACTCCACGTAGCCCTGGGTGTTTGGCAGATCTGTTCAGTGCAAAACACAGAGTCTGTGCAGCACAGGAATCAGCTCCACACTTCAGTCAAGTGAATGTTGGGGGCAGGCTCAGCATATCAAGAAAAGTGTAGGTAGGGATTTATCATTATTTGGACCCAACATCTGGTTTTTATTTTAGTTGATGTATGAGTGTTCTGCATATATACGTGCATGCCGGAAGAGGTCATCAGACCCTATCTATAGATGGTTGTGAGCCACCATGTGGGTCCTGGGAATTGAACTTAGGACCTCCGGAAGAGCAGCCAGTGCTCTTAACCCTCCCCACCCCCCAAGCCATCTCTCCAGCCCATGGACCCAACATCTAAAAGTAAAGCATGGATTTGATGAGGTTTAGAAAGGAGGGCAGCTGCAGGTATATGGAAGAGTTCAGGCTTCAGAGATGAGAAGGAGAGTCAAGAGTGGGTGGGTCAAAGAACATCTATGATGGGTTTGAATGAAGGACAGGAGAGACTGGTGGTGTTTCAGGTTGGTTCCTTTCCACAGAGTTGTATTGAGTCTGGTGCATCAGAGGCTGTATTTAGACTAGTGGGGGCCAGCTCTTGAGTGGTAGCTAGTCTGGGCCACTGTCCTCATTCTTACCATCACATAATACTCCACACATACCAAAGTCTTGATTCTGAAGAGGAAATGGTCGTGTCTGGGATCAGGGATAATTCCAAATAAAGAACAAATCATAGGTTGTGAAAAGGTTTGTTTGACTCGCAGGATTCTGGCCTGGAACTCATAAGATAGAGAATTCTGAGGTTCAGGGTGGGGCTGGGCAGTTGTAGAGTGAGAAGAAGAAATTGGGAGACAGTCATTTAGTTTCATCCTGGGCCACTGGCTTTGATATTACTATGGAACAATGTCAGGTCCAGATGTACAAGAAGTGTAAGCATGCTGGGCAATAGTGGCGCATGCCTTTAATCTCAGCACTGGGGAGGCAGAGGCAAGGGGATCTCTGTGAGCTTGAGGTCAGCTTGGTCTACAGAGTAAGATCCAGGACAGTCAGAGATACATGTAGAAGCCCTGTCTCAACACACACACACACACACACACACACACACACACACACACACACACACACACACACAGAGTATAAACACTAATCAGAAGATGCATGTCTATCTCCATCTTTTTATTCCCCAAAGCCCCATATGGTTTGTACAAAGCAGGCCCCTGGGAAGGGTGAGAAATGGGAGGGTGTTGGGGAAATGAGTTAGTAATGTGCATGTCACACAAGTATGAAGATCAGCACCCATGTGAAATCTGGGCATACGTCTACAACCCCCAGTGTTGGGGAGGGAGAAACAGCTGAATCCATGGAGCTCATTGACCTGTCACCCTATTCCATCAATGAGCTAGCTCCAGGTTCAGTGAGGTTTCTGTCTCCAAAAAAAAAACGAGGCGGAGAACAGTTGAAGAAGACAGCTGACGTAGACCTCTACATTCACATGTACAAATGAATACACACACACACACACACACACACACACACACACACACACACACTGCCAGCAACTATTGCCCTGGAACTCCTAGCACAGTCAAGTCTGAAGTGGACTGGGTTACTGCCATGTGTTCACATCAAGTCACACGAACCTGTTTTTCAGCATGGTTCCATAAGATACAAGCGGCGATGTCTGCTGCCAGCTCAGGCCACAGTCATATCCCCAGAGGAAATGGATCCTACCCCGTTGGTTGTACAGACGTGATGTTCAGTTATGCTGCTGAGGTAATGCCTTACTTTGCCTTAACCTTCAATCCTGGCCTTGGCCTTGCTCGCTAGGTTGTGTGCTAACTTGATCCCGCAGTCACCGGAGAATGAGTCATTGGCCACCCCCGTGGCCACGCCTTTTGTTACTGTGTCGTTCTTCAGCTGTTCGCTGTCTCCTGATTAATTTGCTGATGAATCTTATGTTTTCTCAGATTTCCCTTCTATTCAAAGATAGTTATTCTATCTTCTTCTCTCCTTTGGTTATCTATAGGCACTCAGCATTTCCCTAGACGTCCTTAGGAAAGACAGGGATTTGGGCCCTGGGAATAAAATATTCAAAGCACTGCACTTGGACTGTGTGTGATGGAGAGCATGTTCATTTCTTCTCCCAACAGAGCGTCTTCTTGAGATTGTATTACCCAGCTCAAGATCAAGATCGCCTTGACACTGTTTGGATCCCAAACAAAGAATATTTTTTCGGCCTTAGTAAATTTCTTGGAACACCCCGTTTTGTAGGCAACATTTTGAGCCTGTTATATGGTAAGATTTCTATTGGTCCTGTTCTGAAGTTACATGCATATGTATGTATATATATATATATGTGTGTGTGTGTGTGTGTGTGTGTGTGTGTATGTAATATGTATACAAGAAACAAAAGTTACAAGTAGTAAGACTAAGGTTGATTTCCTCCTTAAATGGTAAGGATGGGATTTCTCTTCTTTTTTTAAAACTGTCTGTGTGTGTGTGTGTGTGTGTGTGTGTGTGTGTGTGTGTGTGTGTTCTTATGCACACAAGTGTGCATTCATATGAAGGCCGGAGGACAACCCGAAGTGTTATTTCTCAGAAATGCAGTTCACCCCCTTTGGGACAGGCTCTCCCAGTAGTCTGGGGCTCACCAGTTAGGCTAGACTGGCTCATAGGCAAGCCCCAGGGACCCTCCATCTCAGCCTCCACAGCACCGGGATTACATGTGTGTGCCTGGTATTTTTATACCACCACATGCAAGGCAGACACTTTAACAGCTGAATGATCTCCCGAGCTAGAAAGACGGGACTTCCTAAAAGGTTTGGGCAACACTGAGAGAAGCGAGGGCTCTTTATCATTTTACAAATTCCGATTTGGATGCGATGGGATGGGATGGGGTGGGATGGGGTGGGATGGGGATGTTATATTTGCCTTAACATCTTCTTATACCTGAGCCTCAATTTCCCTCTTACATCCTGTGGTGGAAGCCACAATGTGGTCAGAGTAGCAGACTGTCTGGTGGGACCATTGCCTGCACATTTTGTGTCAGAAGAAAACAGAAAAATAGAAACCAAGCCCAGCTGACCTCTCACTTATCACAAGAGACCTCAGTTCATGGCCATCACCACCCCCAAAGGACTCATTTCTCTCCTACAGTCTGAGACAGTCATCATTTAATATGTCTGCGATATACAAAGGGAGACTTTCCGTTCCTAACATTTGTTAGATCAGGAAAAATTGAGCCTGTATTAATTACACCTTCAAAATTTTCAGCTTTGGGAATTTTCTTTATCTTTAGGTTTTCATAGGAATTGCTTTAAAGTAGGAAAATACTCTAAACTAGAAAATACTATTGCAGC